CTCTGTTAAAATGAAACACTTCTGGTCTAGGAAAGATACTGTTGAGGCACTACAAAAACAAGCCACTAACAGTGGAGGATGTTTGCCAGAGACCCATCTGATAAATGACTGCCATGCCAGATCTGCAAGCAAATTACTAAAACTCAGCAATACAGAGTGAACCATTGAAAACGGCCCAAAGATGTTAACAGACATCTCACCAAAGATACACAGGTGGCAAACCATCTATGACATCATAAGTCATCGGGAATATGCAAGTTAAAATGAGATACCATCCTTGCCTGTTAGAATGGTCCAAGGCCGGAACATAGCACCACCGAAAGCTACTGAAAAAGCAGAGAACAGGAGCTCTACTTTGGGGAGCTGAAGGGAGTGCATGATGGCACAGCTATGTGATAAGGCAGTTTGGCACTTTCTTTTAAAACTAAACATAGTCTTAACCACATGATCTGGCAACTGCCCTCCTCAGTATTTACTGAAAGGCGTTGAAACTTCCGTCCATACAAAAACCTGCACACTCATGTTTACAGCAGCTTGGTTCGTAATTGGCGAAACTTGGAAGCAACCAAGGAGCCCTTCCGTAGATAGAACCAGAGAGAGGGAGATTATTCAGTGCTAAAACAAAATGAGCTATCAGACCACAACAACAGGGGGTCGGGGGGGGGGGGACGACTTGAAGAAAACTTAAATGCAGATTACCAAGTAAAATAAACCAATCTGAAAAGGCTACATCGTGTATGATTCCAACTATATGACATTCTGGAAGTTAAAACCATGAAGGCGAAAATTTGCATATTCCCAATGACATATGATTTCAATTTGCATATTCCCGATGACACGTGATGTCACATACTTGTCAGGAAAGATAGATGAACAGGCGGAGCACAAAGGACTTGAGGGCATTGAGGCTACGTGTGCGACGGTGATGGCAGCTGCATGTCACACAATCATCCACACCCAAGCAGCGTACAACGGAGAACCCTGTGACCCTGTAACCTGTAACCATGGAGTTAGGGTGGTCATGACCGCACCACTTTGGCTGGGGGCGTTGATAATGGGGGAAGTTAACCGTGTGTCTGAGCAGAGGTGTCGGGGACATCTTCGAACCATCCTAGTTGATAAAAACCCAGATTTGTTCTATGAAGAGTCTATTAAGAGCATTGCAGGGGAGAGGGGCCGGCAAGATGCTCAATGGGTCACTGCTACACACGTGGGGGACTGGAGTTTGGATCCTCAGCGTCTAGGAACACATCAAGTAGTGAGAGCAGCCCACACGCTGTAGGCAGACACGGGGATCCCCGGAGAAAGGTGCCAGCTGGACTCCCTGGACTGGTTCACTCTGTGTTCGGGTGGTGAGAGATCTGGATCAATTATACGGTGGAGAGCAGTCAAGTAAGAAACCCAGTGTCAACCTCTGTGTTCAACACGCACATACCTGCACACGTGTGCACCCACATGCATATGCTGTACACACATGTGAACCCACATGTATGTGCACACACCACACACACACACACACACACACACACACACACACACACACACACACACACTCAGTATTGCAGGAGCGAGGGAGATAACTCAGTAAGTAAAGTACTTGCAAGAGAGTCTAAATTAATTCCCAGAACCCATCTAAGAAGCCAAGTATGGCAGGATCTCTGAGGGTCACTTGCCAGCTCATCTGTAGTCTACTTGGCAAGATGCAGACCTTCAAGAGACCCTATGTTTAAGGGGGCCAGGGTGTCACACACACAAACCATAGCAGTGCCACAAAAACCACTCACGCTCACTGTGTAGCAGACCTAGTTCTGGTGGCCGGAAAAAGCACACTGGTTTTTAAAGTTCTGTTTTGGCGTTACCCAAATCTTGCCACCCCTGAAAACAGCACTGCTGCGTGCCTATCCTTCCTGCTCAGGATGCCTCCTATGGCTCCTCCTTCATTCTTCTCCCCCAGAAAAGCTCCTCATTCATATTCAATTGGGGAGGAAGCATCAACACTCCTCTGAAGCTGTCTTCAACTCTCCCAGGTGCTGCCTCCTTCCCCGGACTTCCATTCTAGCATGATGTCATCGAGCATAATCGTTTGCAGGTCTGCCTCCTCAAGAGCAAGCCTTTCTTCATCACTTGGAATCCTCCACCTCCTGTGAATTAGGATGCAGGAGGTGCTGGGTGATTGCTAACTGCACGATTGCCTTGCAGGGTGCTGCGGTGTGGGCAGAGAGGCACACAGAGTGATACCCAGTTGGTGAGGAACATAGTGATCTTTGATGTGCAAACATCCTGCCTGTTTTTTGAAATCGGGCCCAAGGTCTGCCTCTTTCATGAGGCTTTTCTTAATACCTTCAGTTTCCATCTGTGCTACAAATGGTAGCACCCTGGATGGCACTCCAGAAGACATTTTCGCTGCATTCCTAACACTTGTTTTCCCAACAAGCAGAAAGTTCCTTGAAGATAAGGATTGTGTTCCATTTCCTTGAGTCTTGAATGCCTGTTAAATAGCTCCCCGGAACAGCACCAGGCAAGGAGCAGCACCCCAAGTCACCTCATGAGGCCAGCCTGACTCTGGATGACTTTGCTAAAAGTATTACATCGTAGCTTTAAGGCTACAAGTAAAGGGTGATTTGTGAATGTCTTGAGCCATGCTAGGATTCATAAGCATGGTGTTTTCCCAACAGCCATCATTAATATTCTTCAACACTAGTTTAACAAGAATTCTTCCTAAGGAAACCTAAAACCTAAATGAATCAGTTCTGGTAGTTCTAGTAGTGTAGACCTAGAATCCAATCACTCGTGAGGTTCATGAGTTCAAGGACAGCCTGGGCTACACAGTGAGAATCTATCTCAAAGAGCACAACAAAACCCATGGACAGGAGTAGCTGGGGGCCACAATCCTACCTTTCACTTATTCCTCTGCTGTTCACACATCAGTACCCTATCTATCTGTCACCATCCTTGTCCCTGGTCTGTTAGGAAACTCAGGAGTACTGAGCATTCAATTTCTTCTTCTCAGCACTTAGTGGGTTATTTTAAGAAAGAAAGGAAGCTGGGTGTCAGTGGTGCACGCCTTTAATCCCAGCACTTGGGAGGAAGGGGCAGGCTGATCTCTGAGTTCGAGGCCAGCCTGGCCTACAGAGCAAGTTCCAGGAGAGCCAAAGCAGCATGGAGAAACCCTGTCTCCAATAATGAGAGAGAGAGAGAGAGAGAGAGAGAGAGAGAGAGAGAGAGAGAGAGAGGGAGGGAGGGAAAGGAAGAAGAGGAGGAAGAAGAAGAGGAAGAGGAGGAGGAGATGGAAAGAAGGAAGGGGAAGAGAGAAAAGAAATAATGACCTTGGGAAGGGGTCGTGTTATGGGGGACACAAAGGGATCTGGAGGAGGGAAATGGGGTTGATTATGATTGTATGTATGAAAATCTTAAAGAAAAACAACTTCGCCACCTCTGTTCCATGTATTGCTAACATAAAGTATGTCTGGACAGGTGCTAAAAGGCTCCGTGCAATAACTAGATAACAGAGTTTTTCTCTGCCTGCCTGTGCAGATACACTCTGGAGCATCTCTCCCCACAGTCCCCACCAGCAGCACATGCATGTATGCACACATCCTACCCAAAATGCGATGGCAGAGATGAAGAGAGACCCAAGACTCTTGGCAAGAAAAAAAAATGATTTCAGTTGCTGAAGTCCTTAGAAGTTTCTGCCACTGACCTTGACACTGCTGTTTCCTGTTTTCTAACAAACTCTCCTCCTCTCTACTCAATTATCATAGCAGCAGTTTCCAGTTTACCCCTTCCAGGCCCACTGTATGAAGGCCACCCTAACATAAAAGCGAGCACATGAGTGGCCCGCAACAGCCTATGTGCTCACATGGGTAAGCCACCAGCCACTGGGCAAGTGCTTTCCCTGGGCCTGTTGTGCGTCCATCCCACTGACTGGTGTGATAGGTACAGAAGGATGAGGTAGAAGGCCTTCCTCGTCAGCAAGCCAGTACACTCTGGGGAACCTTCTGGATCTAGTCACTTGAGGACCTCGGAGGCTGAGGGAAAAAGCTCTGAGAGGTGAAGAGGCAAACAGAGGAAGCGACAAATCCTACAAAGACCAATGTTACAGGAAAACAATTCACAGCTTCCAAGTGGTTGTTCATAAGGGACAGAACCAGATGAAGGTCAGAGTGTCAGGGAAGGCTTTGTAGGTGCTGGACAGTAAACATCTATCCCTGTTAGTGAAGAAAGGCTCACATTGCTTTGAAAACTCACAGCCAAAGGGGGCGTCAAGATGGCGCATGAGAACAGGCTCTTACCCCCAAGCCTGAGTTCAATCCCCGGAATCAGAAGCAGAAGAGAATGGACTCCTGCAGTTTGTCCCCTGACCTCTACACATGCAGCAGGGCATGTGCAGACACACACAAACACATGCACACACGATAATTAAAAAAAATATATAGTTTAAACAGAGCCAAGAGAAGGGAGCCTCTGAGAATACAATGATTAAATGTGATATAGCAACTGAGATATGATCCTGGGGACAGAAAGTAAATCAAGTAAAAATGTGGATAAGCTGTGAAGCTTAGTTAACGGTGATATACCAATATTGATTCATTAATTGTAAGAAATGGACCTTCCTAAAATAAGAGCGACCCAGGCACAGGGTATCTGGGAGCTCACTAAGCCTTTGGCTCAGTTTCTCTATAATTCTGAATCCGTGCTAAAAAAACTAATGTCAATTTGGCAAAGGAGAGAGAACGCCCTATAGAGCGTTTCTGGCGATGGAAATAGGAAGGAGTTGACTTAACAGGGGCCCTTTTGGAAAGGAGTGACTGTCGTCCAGTGTGGCGTCTGTAGCTGGATCAGAGGTGCCTGCAGCCATGCCGAGTGCGAGCTCGCTTCCCCCAGGTTGAATTCTTGGCAGGCGGCCGCAGCATTTGTGCACTGATTATGATTTTGAGATGCATTGTCAGTAACCAGGGTGTATAATGGCGCTTCAGCTCTAATTACTCTTCTCTCCACAGGTGTCTGGAAAGGGTCCAGATGGAAGCGCACACAACCTCCGCTTCGAAGGGATGGAGAGGCAGTATGCATCCTTACCCAGGTAGGGTCTAGAGGGGTCTCCCAGCCCCAGCTCACCCACAAAGGAAGCGTTTAGAGATGTCTGTGTGAACTAGAAATTTGGCTTCGAGATGGGGAACATGTTAGAGTTTTGCCTTGCTGCCGTCTGCTGTGGTCCTAACGCCATCTTCACAACTGTGCTAAGAATTGAAACACTTGTGGGGTATTTTTTAAGGGGAGAGAATAGTATATCACTGCAATCGAACATGTCAGCAGGAATATTGGATCCTGGATGGAATGCCTAAGCCATGGCTATAAAAATGGTATTGAACATCCTGCACCAAGCTTAGAGACAATAACATGGGAAATCCTGTGTCCTAGAAGTTTCCCGAGAGAAAGGGCAGGCTGGCCTTAACCTTGGAGCTTCAGGTGGGTGTTAAAAAGAGGGAGAGAAACATGAGCCTGGAAGGTGTTTTTAGAATCTGCCTGTGCCCTTGAGGCAGTGAGCAAATATTGCTAAGAGGCCCAGACAAGTGGCAGAATACAAAGAACTTCGTGGGAAAAGTTTGCTTGGCCGAGCTGACCTAACTTGATCCCTGTATGCTGTAACAAGACACCCCTGGAAAGGAGATACAGTTCACAAAGGTTGGGGCTGTTATCTGAGAGGTGTAGAGTCCAGTCAATCGTACTGGTCTACCATCAGGAGCACATGACAAATAGGAGACCTTTCCAAGATGACTTACAGCCCCCTTCCAGGGGAGTCCAATAAGTTGAGAGTGTGAGAATTAGTGAGTTCAGAAAGAAACAGAGAAAGGTGAATGCCAGCCACCAGCCTGAAGTAACTGAGTATCACCTTAGAAAGGGCAGACGAGGCTTCGCTGTCATCAGACCTGAGCCGCAGAGCTGTTGACGCAGAGATGCAGTTGCTGTTGAGTGACATGTGGGCTCTACTTCTGTGGGTGAAGCGACAAAAATAGTGTCCTGAATTTTCTATCAGCCACAGCCTAGGTGACCATCTGCTCTTAGAAAAAGTATGTTAGGGCTGGACAGATGGCTTGTCGTTTAAAGTGCTTGCCACACGAGCGTCACGCATGGGGACCAGAGTTCAGATTCTCCGGTATCCAGGTAAATGGCAGGTGGGTGTGGTGTCCCACCTGAAACTCCTGCACTCCGAAGGCAGAGGATGCCTAATTCAAGCTTGCTAGCTAGACCCGCTGTAACTGCAAGCTCTGGGTTCAGCTGAGATGCCTTAAAGAGGAAGATGGACTTCAAGGAAGAAAGACTCCTGATGTCAGCTTCAGGCTTCCACATGTACATGACCAGATGTGTGTGTGTACCCATACAAGTGTACTCACACACATGTGTGCACAAGTGTTCATGCCTGCACATACACACAGAGGCACCACACATACACATGAAAAATATGTTGATTTTCAAAAACAATAAAGCCATATATTTACCAGGGTACCAATTTTTAACATTTTCCCTGGTAGGATATAGGAAGTGCAGGCTTTAAAAAGCTTTGATGCAGCTGTATTTTATACATCTCCCTATTTCCTTTATATGTTATCATGTAAGGGTTTTTTTTTTTCTTTTTCTTTCTTTCCTCAGCTATGATTAGTTTCCTGCCCCTATTTTTTCCTCTGGCTTAGCATTTTGTTTTCATTTTGAAAAATGGAGTCATTTCCAAACTTCATTTGAAATACTGAAATATAAGGTTTCCGGCTTTCACTGTTGACGTCTATGGAGATTGTGGTTAAGGCAAAGAAAGGAAGAAATTCTTAGGGGAAGTGCGGAGAGGAGGGGGAAAAAATCATTTTAATGTCTTCCTGGCCAGCTTGCATCCTGAGTTTAGAAACTGCTCTTTTTTTTTTTTTTTTTTTTTTTTTTTTTGGTGTAAATCAAAAACACAGAAATAACATTAAAAGTCCTGTAAATCTCACTCATGTATTAATTCCCCTGTTGTAGTGGTCACCTACCATGTAGAGAGGGCCCCGAGGATATGGGCAGTGGACAAGGTCCCAGTCTGTCCTTGGGGATCCTCTTTGGTAATGGCAGGCAGTAGGCGTTTTCTCATAATGATGAAATCTCAGAGTAGTAGCTATTAAGACAAAGGCCTCTAGGTTTCCAACTCCTCTTTATTTCCCCTAATTGGCCCCTGAAATGCCCAATCATGGCTGACTCCAAACAAGTCAGTTTAGGAATAAACACTGTTGAAGGAGTTTCGTGACAAAGACAGTGTGTGGGTGCTGTTTGTGGCGCAGGAGCTATCAACACAACGTAGGAATTGGCAAAACCCCGCCAGCTCTGAGACATCAGTGTGGCTGAAAGGCAAGCATCTTAGAGGGAAAATAGTGCTGGCACCGAGTCCCTTCCCACACACAATGGTAGCCCTGGTTAGCTGCACGTGCAGTCAGATCACTATGGCTGCCTTGCAGACAGAAGTAGCCATGACGGAGCTCAGACAGGTCTGTGAGACACCAGGATTTCAGTGAGGAGCGCAAACCCAAGTTTCCATTTGGGGATCCAAAAAGAAAACACACAGTTCCCTCTCGGGCTGTGTGCTCCGTCCCTGGGCCCAACGTTCGCCCCGTGAGAAGCAGAAACGGGGAGACACCCGCTCTGCTGGTGTCTGATCTGAGGTGTGCAGACCCAGTCCCGCTAAGAGTTCGTGATACTGACCTAGTTTTCTCCATCCCTGCCTGGGGATTCTCCTGTCCTCTTACCTGACTCACACCAGCTCCCTGCTCTCTCTCCCTTTGCCAGGGGTGAGGGACAAACAGCTCTTTAGACACCAGGTCCTTATCGCAAAAGCAGGATAGTTTAAATATTTGTGGAATTAATTTCTTAATCAAAGATAGGACTAGGTCTGTCTGTAGAAAGTCACTGGCCATCCTTCCAGAGAATTTAGTCCGCCCCTTGCTGACTTGGCTCCTAGGTTGTTCATTGAGATGTCAAAGGAGCTTTAAAGGTAAAGTCAGTAACCTTGACTTCTATGTCAGATTTGGAAGCATGGATAGAAAAATGCATCCTCATCTAGGGGCTCATTCCTAAGCTTTTGGGGAACTCCATCATCTTTAAAGCAAGCTCAAGCAGGCAGCTGTCGAGCTAAATGACACCACACAGAAATAAAGCAGAACCCTGGCTAGCACTGGCAAAGACGGTTCCTAGCGCTGGGTAGTTAGGAGCTTGCCTGCGGCTAAGGGCTAAGCAATGTTAAGTGTTATTGTTAAGCAATGTTAAATCTTCTGCCTCCCAAGGAAAATGACTTTATTTCTTTTCTCCTGAGACTGCTGTGTCAGGAAAGCTGGGTCTGCTTGTAATACCACCTCATTAGCAAACCCCAGGCCTTGACTGGGGCCAGTCTTACCAGCCTATGCAGTCCCCAGTTTTCTTTGGTAGTAAACAATGAAATCAGCATCCCCCCCCCCCCCCCCCCCGCCCCCTTAGTCTTGCCTGACACAAATTATTACTCACCTACCCACCGCAAGTGAGTGGCTGTTTTCTGGGCTGTTCTAACGCGTGAACACCAAGGTACACATTTTCACTAAGAGCTTCTTTTCCGCTCTAGCCTCCCAGCCCCTTCCAATTCTCCCAGCCTCCATTCTTATTTCATGGGCCCTTCAGCTGTGGGCTCTCTGTTCACCCATCTCTGGCGCCTCCATCATTCACCTGACCCAATCCTGGCCCCCTGGGATCCCATTATCCTAGTCTCTACGGACACATGATGTTGCTCCTCTAGGTTTGCAATCAAGTGTGAGGTCGTAAGGAATGAGCAAGACAGTAAGGCACACTGCTTCTCATCTGTGGTCCCCAGCGCATGGAAGGTGGCTGGAGAAACTCATAAAACCGTTTTTATCAGCTCCATTCCAAATTTCACATTAGGCAGCACCAGCTGGGCCCCTGTTGCTGGCCAGCATTCCTTTTAATCATGTGAGCAACTCCCGGGACTCTCCCACAGTGGATGTTCTTCAGACCCTGTTCTACCAAGATGACTAAACATTCCCAAGCCTAGTCTCTAGAGATGACCTCACTTCCTTTCCGCTACGACCCCAACCCCGAGGAGGCATCTGACATTAGCCCTCAACTTCTGCTCCCCGCAGCTCAGCCTGCTGTCCTCTCCAACGCACACTTCCCAAAGGATCCGAGGAGGGTCAAAGCTTGGAGCCAGGCCATGTGTGTAGCCCCAGCTTAGCCACTTACCACCTGTGTGGCCTTGGCCAGTGATCCAGCTGCTCCAGGCTCTGCTTCCTCATCTGCAAATTGGGGATGACATCAGGGTCTCCATCTACTGGTGGCAGCATAGGGATCAGATGCGTGACAGTAATGCAATCAGTGAATAGTTAAGGGTTTTTTTTTTAACCTCATTTTTATTTGATCCTTGGGGATGAGTTTTTTCCCTTATATAGTGAAGCAAGCCCGTTCCCACTGGTGTCTCTGGGACCTGAGAACACCGACTTCCCTTCTCTGCACTGCATCTCTTGAAGCAGAACCCCCTTCGGGCTTTCCTCCCCATTGCCTGCTTTGGTAAATGCAGAGGCTCGCCTGCACAGCTTGCAGGATGTCCCTTCCACCCCATGGAAAACGCAAGGTTAACACCTGCTTGGAGATAGGCCGAGGGTCCTAATGCAGAAAGCAATTGGTTGACCCTGGGGAAATCCCAGGTGTCCCAACAATGGAGAGCGAGATAGCCCAGAAAACTAATATGATTTGAGTGGCAAGCTGTGCTAACAGACAGGCTAGGAGACAATGTTTCCTGTTGCTAGGGGATCCATATAGCAGATCCACAGTGTTGACTTGGGTCTAAACAAGAGGACAGGGCTTCTGTCCAGCAAGATATAAGGACAGGCCTAGGATCCTTCCCAGGGTAGAAGGCTAAGCATGCCACTCTAGCTGCTGGAGCAGACAGTGTGAAAGCAGTGCCCCTTTCCTCCCTGGGAGGAGTCCCAAATAGATCTGGGCACTGTTAGCTCAGGACAGGAGTGACAACCATGATGCTCTAGGGCACGAGCTAAGGAGGATGGGACTGTCTCCCCAAACCTG